ATTTCAAAATATTATAATTAAAAGTTTCAAATATATAAAAAATTTAGATTTAAAATAGTAAAACTATTGTTTTCAATACATAGATGTAAATTTGGAGACATAAGTTTTATTGATAAAATATTATATATCAAACTACGTAAATTTTAGATAGTTCACAGGTAGTTTTTAAAATCACAATTATAATGGTAAAGCGAGTTGTGAATAATGTTTTTACGATATGAATTATGTTACGGGTTGTTCCTTCAAAAAATATATTGTAGTTTGTAATTTTTACGTATATTCCTACTTCTACTACAGAAATGGTCAAACTGAATAATTTATCGATAAATATTATTTTGTGCTATAAAATTTTCACCCTTTTTTTAATTGTAGCAAAACTCAATATATTATTATTTACTCACTTTTTCCTTTTATTATTTTATTTAAACTTTTTTTTTTGGTAATCTATTTAAACTTATTATACAAATATATGATTCATTGTAATCGATTGCACTGTAATAAAATTAAGCTTTAATATATTTTAATCCGTTAAAATTTCTTTTTTTTAGTAAAAGGTTAAATAAATTATTTTTAATAATCCGTTAAAATTTATATATAAGTAATTCTTTCCCCCGCGCTGTAGCGCGGGTCAAAACCTAGTTATAATATGTAACGTAGAAGTTCACAATGGTGATAACTTGAGCTAATCCTAAGTAATGGACTAATGGTGGTAAGATATAAAGTCCTAAGGCAAGTGCGAAAGTAAAACGAACATGTGTGATATAAATGTGACCGTAAATGAGACAAAATAGAATCGTATCTAATGGAAACATAATTAAGTGATTACGTAACATTCATGCAAAGTTATGAGTGGTACACAAATTATAACTACATACGAGTTCTTTAAAAAGTAATTATGAGAATTTGTTTGGCAGATGAAGAAAATGATTAATAATGCCAAATCTTTTAACATTCCAATTGGAAAGCGATATATGAAACTGAGTACGTAGTCATATTAGATTCGTTATCGAGACTAATTCACACTACAAAATGTATGGACGAAAAAGAAAGCTCCTAAAGCAATTAAATTATTTAACGCATAATTGAAGCATTGACTTTCTCATTTGCTTCCCTAGCTACCTCGTCAAGCCAAAAAAAAAAGAAAAGACATTTGTGGATAAGAAATACAAAATTAATTGGTTCATCTTTTTTTTTTAATACAATATGCATAATATAAAGTTTAACAAAAATAGTAACACGATTGTAGCATAACCCACTAAAATTCGTCTAGTTTATCTATTTTTGAATGTAAATTTTTTTTTTTTTTTTAACAAAAAGTTTGATTTGAATAAATGGATTTTGAAAGAGGAGAACAACAAAATGGAGAAGGATAAGAACATAAAAGAGACGAGATCAGTGGGATAATGAAAAGGTTTGGTGATGACCTCATGCATGTAGATATATATATCTACGTTATTTGTTTTTAGGGTAATAATGCAACATATACGCCATTTTAGGCAATCTCTTTCTGAAAAAGATGTTTAGCATTTATATACGAAACGACTGGATTATTAAAGATACGAGAAGAAAATAGTTAGGAAAAAAAAAAAAAGAATAAAGAGAAGATAAAATGTAGAGACAAATTGAAAGATCTCTAGCTCTCTTTTCTTTTTCTTTAAAGCTAAAATTAAAAGCTTGGGACATAAATTAGAAGTTGTAAATGACAGGTTTCATCTTTTTTCATGCTTTTAAGCTTTTCTCTTCTTTTCGTTTGTTACCGAGTAAAGCTATATCTTCTTCATCTTCATACTAAGATTCACTCTTTCTTGTTAACATAAATGATATTCAAAAAGAACGAGATTATATACGTTCATAGATTTTGAATGGTGAGGAAGAACATTTTCTATTTAACTTCATTGTTAACTAAGAGATGCATACATCTTTTTATCAAAATAAGAAACAAAAATTATAGGTATTTGTAACTTCACATTTCCATAACTATTTTGAGTGGCCAAAGCCGATGAAGTGATGAACCTTTCTCATATATTCTATATAAAAGTCAATGTAAATGTAAGAAAATAAAAATTCAATGGATTAAGATGATAAACCAAATAATTACATACAACTTTATTTTGTTTATTCAAATGATGATAGATGGAACTTAAAAGGATTGTTAAAAGTAACCATTCAATGGTTGTTTTATATATTGTGTTCACTCATTTCATTTGTTATATTCCATTACAAGCCTATATACTTTCAACTAATTAACAAAGTAGTTAAAATATTAAAAACAACGTACGATTCAATAAATTAAAGAGATTAAACCATTGCCATGAAAGAAAAAAAATACAAGCATGTAATCGATTGATATCTAATTAATGAATGAAGACGAAAACGACATATCAGGGACAAGGCTACTCTATAGTCTTGACCCACAAAGATACCCTAATTAAGCTTTCATGATTACGAATCTATATGATAATGAAACCTAATTAAGAAAAGTTTAACATATACTTAACCATTATATTTACACACACACATAATATATATATATATATATATATATATATGTATAATATACTATTTTAGCGATATTTAAACAACTTAAAATGATAATCATGAAACATTAACCAAGTCTTAATACTTTATAAAATTTTCTACCCATGACGTGTGATTGGTCTAGACAAATATGAGGTATTTATGAGGCATGAATAGCCTGAAATCTAGACAAATATGAGGTGTTAAAATGCTTAAACTTTGCTTTTTCTGCTAACTGAATGTTTTTTTAAACATAATTTGATTTGTAAATGAAAATTCTGACTGATACACAAATATTTCAGAATAACCCGACTCCCAAATATAAAATGCAAAACTATAAAGCACTACAGACTATAGATCTAGTGACTAGATATACCAAAAAGATGATCTGCATGTTGTGAAAAAATGGAATTTAAAATTGTTTGATTGCACAACTTTTCGCAAGTCAGGACTAAACCAGTTGATATGAATACTTCCCAAACTTGTTTTACTTCGTGGTAAAGATATAAAACTGATATGATTGTAGTATTTTATAATAATTACATCGAGTAAAGCAAATCAAGGTCTTTTGGTTGTCTCTAGAACGTCTTTAATTATTTTGTTCATCTAGGTCCAAAACTTAGACCTTGTAAATCATATGGATACACATATAATATAAATAAATATTTATGTGATTCTCCAACTAAAAATCTATATATTATACATATAATTCGACAGAGAGAACCTTATAGGCGAAGAAACGTCGCTCCACTCAAACCCTAAAAAGAGAATCACAACAAAAACAATAATATATATATATACACACACACATATTCATATACAAATAAATAATGCATGAGAGTGGAAAATATATATAAAAAGAGAAATAAAGCATGAGAACATGACCCATGTTTGGAAAAGCATTATGTGCTCACTTTATCTTTGTGCTCATTCTCTATCATCATCTTCTATCTCTCTAAACCTCTATCTTCTTCTTCTCTCTTTCCCTTTTGGTTCTGTGCTCTCTCCCTCACATCATCTTCTCTTTAGCCTTTGGTTCTCTTCTTTCGTTTTTATTTTTGATTCCCCCACCATTTTTGTTCTTTTGAGTTTTAAAGATCCATCAAACTTTATTAAAGAAAGAAGAACCAAAGAGATAAAAGGGGCAGAGAAGAACAATGGTTTTCTCAACCGTCTCAAGCTTTTTAGATCCACCAATTAATTGGCCACAGGTTCTTTAATTTGATCTTCCATTATACCTAATCCTTCTCTTTCTTTACTTTCTTTTTGTGTGATTTCTACATATCTTAAATTCTCCATTGATATGTTTTGATTCTTTTATAAAGAATTTTGATTCATTTTTACTAAAAGATATATTCATATTCTCGTCTTCATTCATCTTTAGTCTCTTCTTTTTTCAAAGTTCCATAACATATCATGGTATTTCTTGCTTTATGATCTCACCTATATATAGACCAAATACATATATACTTTCTTATAAGAACAAAAAAAACTCAAATTTAATTGACAACCAAAGATTGATTTTGAAGTTTATGGTTCTTCTTTCTTGTATTGTGTGATTAAATTCCTTTTTTCTTATGTTTGCAGTCGTCTACGAATTCGAATAATCATCCTCATCATCTTCAGCTACAAGAAAGTGGAAGTTTAGTTAGTGCTCACCACCAAGTACTCTCTCACCACTTCCCACAAAACCCTAACCCTAACCACCACCATGTTGATACCACAGCCGCCGCCGCCACCATTGATCCAGGTAGTCTCAATGGCCAGGCAGCTGAGAGAGCAAGGCTAGCTAAGAACCATCAGCCACCGGAGGGAGTCCTAAAGTGTCCTCGATGTGACTCAGCCAATACTAAGTTCTGTTACTTCAACAACTACAACCTCACGCAGCCACGTCACTTCTGCAAGGCTTGCCGCCGATACTGGACACGTGGTGGCGCCTTGAGGAACGTACCTGTCGGTGGTGGCTGCCGGAGGAACAAGAAGGGTAAATCCGTAAGTTCAAAGTCTTCATCCTCCTCCTCGCAGAACAAGCCGTCAACGTCTATGGTCAACGCTACAAGCCCTACAACTACTAGTAATGTCCATCTCCAACCAAATAGCCAGTTCCCATTTTTGCCCACTCTACAAAACCTCACTCACCTCGGTGGTATTGGTTTAAACCTAGCCCCCATGAATGGTAACACTAGTAGCTCAAGTTTCTTGAATGATTTAGGGTTTTATCATGGTGGCAACACTTCAGGTCCGGTCATGAGTAACAACAACAACAACGAGAATAACAACATTATGACTTCTCTTGGAACAGCAAACAACAACTTTGCTTTGTTCGATCGAACCATGGGGTTATTTAACTTCCCTAACGAGAGCAATATGGGATTATCTTCTAGTGGAGCTACTAGGGCTTCTCAAACCGCTCCGGTTAAAATGGAAGATATAAGCCGGTCGGTTTCGGGTTTGACATCTCAGGGGAACCAATCCAATCAATATTGGACCGGTACTGGTCTTCCCGGTTCTTCTTCAAGCAATCATCACCAGCACCTTATGTGAGTGTGGAACATTCATGGTCATGGACGACCTCTCGTTAAAGATCCAATGCGTATGGGAATACTAAAAAGGTATATTAGAATCGGTTTGTTATAGCTAGTACAATGGGGTGCATATAGAATCAGCTGGTGGTGCACAAAGAGAATTATTTCGTATTGTGTGATTATGAACTTGTTAGTTGTTGTGTGAGTGTCTATCGAGTTTGTTCAATTCGTATTCTTCACTTGGGATATTCATAAAATAATACTAACTTTTTTGTATGTTGTTCTTCTATCTTTTTGTTTCTTTTTCTTTATGTGTGTTATATGGGTTTGGTTTCTAAAAGATCTAGGAGTACGTGAGAAGAGCCAATCAGCATAATTACTAAAGATTTTATCATTTCATATATATATATTGCTTTCTTGTTTTGCTTCAATGAATAAACAATATTTATAGGATAATGCATAAAGTAAAAGAGTATAGTGTTACAGACGACTGACGAGTTTTAATCATACAATTCCGTGTCTCTCTAGAGATGGTAAAGTTTTAAAATTACTCAAAAAAGCTTTATATTTCTCACATTTTTAGGAGCTTTTTCTCTTTATCTTTTTCAGTACTTGATAAATTAAAGATCTGTGCATATGAAGATGCATGTACGTACCACGTTATAATGTTTACTTTCCAGTGTATATTAAGATTCCGTACGTACACCTATGAAATAAAACTCAAACCTCTTTTACCTTTTCTTTACCTTTTAAAAAAAAAATATATAAATAACCTTATTTAAACTGTGAATAATATTATATTTATATATATAATATATATACATGGGAAATGCACGTATTAATGGATTCGTTTTAGATTACTATATCACTACTGATCATATTTATAAAAATTGTCACCAAATCTTTTTTGCAAATAAGTAACTAACCATCTAAGCAACACTAGTTTAACTTGAACCAAGCTGAAAGAAACCAACATACATATGAACAGTGAGCTTTGTCGTAAGGGACTATGACCCCGAGAAAAATGAGTACTGGGGAAGCATCAGCGACACAATACCCTATAGCCGTCAGATGAACGGACCATCCTCACAAAACTCCATCATCAGTAAATAAGAGTAAGAGGAAGTGATTGATAAATGTGAACTATATGAATTCTAGGGTCAAGTAAACGATCAAAGCTTTGACTTCAGGCTTATGATGATTCTTGACATGTAAGCTTTTCGATGGTTTCGGTTTGTGTCTTCTTGAAATGAATGTAAAGTTAAAAACAAAAGAGTTTGTGATGTGCAGTGCGGATAAAGATGAAGATGGTTAACACAAGACAAAGTTAGAGAGGTGTATAAAGATAGTTAATTTACAGAATTTACTTCTCATTAATGGTTTTGATCAATGCCTTGTTTTTTTTGGTTTCATATAGCCAAGAAATGGTACAAGTTAGTCAAGAAAAAAACCATCTACTGAAATGAAATAGCACTAAAACAAACATCATTTGTAATTGAGTGTTTTGGGATTAAAAAGTGAGCAAACTGTGAATGCAAAAAAGCAAAACCTAGAAGGCAACTTATAACATCAACCAATATGAGCATACAGCTGCAAATTACAAAGCTCCTATAGGCTTTATTTAGAAATAATGAAGTGGGTTTTTAGAGGCAACTTCGATGCAGCTATTGTAATAGCTTTTCTAGCTGTGTTTTCAGATACACCACCCATTTCGTAAATGACTTTACCTGGTTTAACCACAGCTACCCAAAACGCTGGGGCTCCTTTCCCACGACCCATACGCGTTTCAGTTGGTTTTACTGTAACTGATTTGTCTGCAAATATACGTACTCGGACTTTTTCACCGCGTTGTACATTTCGTGTCATTGCTCGTCTCCCTGCTTCTATTTGTCTAGATGTTATCCAGCCGGGTTCAAGTGTTTGAAGAGCATATCTGCCAGTAAGATTCCCAAGGTTTGATATTCCTTTAACTCTTCCTCTATGGTGTTTCTGAAACTTTGTTCTTCTCGGGATATCGCTGACCGAACTCTTTCTTTTTTTCGCCATACCGCTGGCCGAACTCTTTCTTTTTTTCGGGTTATCGCTGGCCGAAATCTTTTTTTTTTTCGGGTTATCGCTGACTGAACTCTTTGTGTTTTTCGGGATATCGCTGACCGAACTCTTGTGGATCTCTCTGACACAGTTCACTGTCGCAGGAGTTGTGCATCTGGAGTGCCAGATTACAGGAACCTGACCAAAAATGAATGTAAAAACATACACACAGCTTCAACTTCTATTTCTTGAAAACGTCAAAAAGTGTTTTCATTTGGTAAAGAGTTGTTTCTTTAAGAGTCTGCACATTCATTGTCAAGCTTATGAACATTTTATACAAAGCGACTGATACAAATGTCTTCCAAGAGTACTGTAACCTTACACTAACCATGTCTTAGTCATAGAAATCAAATAATAGATAAAAACTAATTTTAGTCATCATTATAAGTCTCATCATCTACCTCTTGGTAAGTACTTCAACATGTAATTAAAGATCAAAACTAAAACTATCCACTCTATGTAACAGAACACATATCGAAAAGTAGCGTTGAATCAATCATGAAAATGCCAATTAGTGCAGGAGTGATAAGTATCGTTATTAAACAAAATGAAACACTAATCCGACAAATCAAAGAGCTATTGGATCAGACAATAAGCATTCGAACCACCTACCTTCTTGGGATTGATGGAGTTGATTGTAACGGGAAGAGAGGAAGTGGCAACAGAGGCAGGAGCAGGAACATGGTGAGACAGAGATGGAACAAGAGTGAGAAAGCGTCGGCTTATCTGATGTTGATGATGACGAGTTTGTTCCAAGACACGGCTAAACAAGAATCTCTGCATCTTGTGAGACAATCAGATCTATAGGACGTGCTGCTCAAGCCCAAAGTGACGAAAAGGCTCCTAATACAAAATGTCCTTCTAAACCAGTGACCTGCTCAGACCGAGATTTGTGCATTTATTATATTTGTCTTGTTCTCCAAGGCAAAATAAAGATAGCCAAAACTACCTAATTGAGATACCCAGGCCTGTTTAGTCGTGGGCAAAAGCCCACAAGCTAAGAAAAATGATACAACTAAACCAAATCCGAGGAACCGATCCGAACCCGATCCAAAAAACCCGATCCTACAACATTTAAGCATTGCTGCACCAATTTGCCTCATTATCTCAATTCTCTCAAAAACTACAACTTTGTAGCATCAATTATCTCAAAAACTACAACTTTTGTAGTATTGTGAAACAAGATTACGATTTACAAACACCGATTTGAACATTTATTTTATGATCCGAGCAAAAAAAAGTGATTTACAGGTTTCAAAATCTTGGTTCTATTTGTGCGAGGTTGGTTAAGAAAAACACAAAATGTGCGCTCACTGTGATTGGAGAAGCAAACCTTTATAAGCTAAACTCAGATTAGAGAGATTTGATCTTCCACACCTACACCAGACTGTTTCTGCTGGTCGTTAAGACGGCTAAAGCGGTTAAGTAGCTGTGCTGCTTTGCGTTTTCCTCTGTCAGTACCATTCTCAGCCATTTCTATTAAAAGACTCATAATCCCTAATTTCTGAGCTTCAACCAAATGCTGCTGATCCCATGAGCACAAGTGCACTAATACTGCAGCTGCGTTCTCTTTGTTCCTTGGTGACCCACTTCTTATAAATTCTACCATAACATGAACCGCGTCAGCGGCTCCAACTACTGTTTTCCCATCCGGGTGACTCGATATTATGGCTAATATAGCAAGTGCTTCATCAACCATTCCGCTTGATGTCTCTGTTAGTAACCGCATTAGCACGGGAACTAAACCGGCTCTCACAGCTTTTCCTTTGTTCCCTTGGAATATGCAGAGATTGAACAGAGCAGTTGCCGCATCTTTTTTGCCTCTCTGTGATCCTTCGCTCAGCAAGATTACAAGAGGCGGGATCGCTCCTGCGGCACCTATTGTCACTTTGTTCTCGTCTATAACTGAGAGGCTGAAAAGTGTAGCTGCTGCGTTTTCTCTAGCTTCCATGCTGCCTTTCTGGAGCACATGAACAATACCTGGAACCGCTCCACATGAATAAACAATCCTCCCTTTGTTCTCTTGGCATATCGAGAGGTTAAGAATAGATGTCACAGCGTGTTCTTGAATTCGGGAGTCATTGGATATCGTGAGGAGATTCACCAGAAGAGGAATCGCGCCTGATGCAGCAATGGCGACTCGGTTACGGTTGTTTTGTTTTGCTAGAAGACGGATTTCTCCTGCAGCGGATCTTTGGTCTTCAGGGTTTTGCGATGTGAGCTTAATTAGGAGTTCTTCAATCTGGTTATGCTCATCAGCAGGGGTTGAGGAGGATGATGATGATGCTTTACTATTTGGTTGAGTATTGTTGGGACGCTTTGGAGGTTCGATGCCATTGGATTCACACCACTGAGCTATAAGGCTTCTTAGAGCATAGTTTGGTGTGACGGTATCACTTGTCAGCTTTTCTTGCGTCTTTGGACACGTCAAGTGTCCTCCTTCAAGCCACTTGCTAATGCACTCACGTTCATAAGTCTACACAAGATTCAGATGACACCAGTCAATAAAACTGGAATTGAATTTAAGAAGACAACGTAAAAGGAATAATGGTGCTCGTACAATACCTGCCCTGAAGAAACAATAACTGGATCCGTCATCAACTCTAGAGAAATCGGACACCGTAAATCTTCAGGCGGTATTGGCAAATTTGGATCACCATCTTGTAACTTAGGCACAGGCGATTTCAGTCTCATGGGAGCATCATCCAAGTTAGGATTATCAGTTTGAACAAAGTACTTAATTTTCTTGAGAACCATCGACATCTTCTCAAAGCTTTTACCAGGATCTCCACCACTTGAACTGACCATATCAAGTAAAGCCAACGACTCTTGCGTAAGGTCAGTAATGGTCATCAACTGAAGCTTCACCGCAACTCTCCTGAGCACGTTAGAATCAGCTACACTTCCTGTATCACTGTAAAGAAACAAAATATCCCTATACAACTCATCATCATATGCATCACCGCCTCTTCCTATTTCTCTTCTTAACTGAACTAGAACAAGCTCAACCTACAACAAGAAATAATATCCGAAAGCTGAAGCTCAAAGAAACAAGCAAATGTAAAAGACGAAAGCAGAGCAGAGACTTATCTCAAATTCTCAAATACCTGTTCTTTAAGCTCATCAGAAATTTCAAGATTCTCATAAGGGATTCCACTCAAAGCTTGTTCCAATAGAGCAGTCACTTTCTGAAACTTAACCATCACTTGATCTCTCTCCAACACCTAAGCGAATCAGATTCAAATATTCAATTTCCAATTTCAATTTCAAATCCAACAACAACATCACTATCTCAAAACCCAGATCTAATTTCTCAAAATAAATACTCAAAAAATCAGGCGATATCGAAATACTCACACACCAGGTAAATTTTGCTAACTTGGGATACGAAAGCAATCAAATCCTTAGCAGGAACAAGAGAATCCTTAAGAGATAACAAAGCAGCCACAGGGATCGTTGATTCTTTACAGTCTCTGATCTCTTCAAGCATAGGAAGAAGAAGCTTCAATCTCCTGGAGAGATTGCTACAGTGTTTCTTCATCGGTGCACGGTGATCTGAAATCGAAACGATCTCGTTTACTGAATCGATTAACGTTTTCGCTAACTTGTGTTTCTCTGATTTCGCCATTTTTGGGGCGTGGTGGTGGTGGTGGAGTAGGAAACGCGCTTAAGTCTTTTTGCTTTGTTGGGTCACGAGGTTTGACTCAACGATGAAAGTTATCACTGTGACGACGAAGACGAAGAAGTCATCACCATGGACTTGTAGTGAGAGAAAGAGCGGTGTAGAGTTTAGAGAGAGATCATACAATAGTCGTGACTCTTAAAACGGCTCAGCTCGGGTCGGCTAGGCTAAGTCAGCTACAGGCTCATCAACATCTAGCGATAATTTCGGGTCGGATTTGGTTATATTTTTCTAACTTTGGAAAAAAGAAAATATAATAAGAGTCAATTGGTCAACGCAAGAAATACCAACAAGAAAACAAATATGCAAAAAATTGGAGACATAACATTAATGGAAACAAATATTTGTAGGCAAGTGTTCAACGATTAGGTATTTTATTTATTTAAAATTCCATTTTAGTAAATTGTTTATGTCGTGTAATCTATAAGATTGTTTACATGGACTTGATCAATTGATAGTAAATCTTTATAAAGTTATATAAACGAACTACTGAATCTCGCTTTTTACATATTTGTAGGGATTAGATTAATGGACTGGTCAGTTATGGTCTAATGTTGACCAAAAAAAAAACGAGTTACTCAAGATTTGATGTATCCTAGAAACTAACCCATAAACGTTTAAAGTATCGTTAGAAGTTTTTCGTATAGCTTTCTCTAATTCCGTCATTAGGCGGATATTATGGCTTGTTAACCCGAGAATTAATTCGGAAAAAAAAAAATCTCAAAAGTTATAATGTCCGTTGGACCGGATCAGATGAAAAACAATTATGTTGAGATAAAAAAAAAACAAATTATGGTAAGAAACATAATAGTAAATTTTTCTCTCTTTTTCTATAAGTTTTTTTGCGTTAATTAATGAAATGTAATTAAAAAGTGACCAGAGGTCATTAACTCGACTAAAATATAGTACATAGTATGAATATGGCAAGTGAATCACATGATCGGACGACATAAAAGAAAAAGATAAGTCCGGATCTGCGTAACTGTCCGGTCATGAAAGCAAAAGTGCTAAAACATGAGAAACTTGCGTGAGAAAACATCGGATGATCCAATGTGTTTCGCGTTTGGTCTCAATCCTAACAGCATGATTCTTTGCTCGAAGGATGATCAAAACAACAACAAATAAAGAGAATAAAAAGTTTGGGATGATTTTTCCCGAGGTCGGAAGCAATATAAAGAATGCTCGAGTTAAGATAGCTTCATACTCACGTCTTTTTTTTTTGTAATCTATATATAAATCCCTAACCTTTGTACCCATTGAAGTTTATAACAATCCAAATACACATTTTAACAGAATATATAGAAACCAAGTAATCTCGTTGTCAACTTATCACTTATCAACAACATTCATGGCTCAGGTATGAAACTAAATTTATTTAACTTATGTTTTATGATATTTCTTTATCTTTTCTTCATCTACTTTTGAAGCTTAAGTTATGTAATGTAACCATAAGTCTTACAAATGCAATTTGCTGTTGCAATGACCTAATTTGCTTAGCTATACATTTCAAATTATGAAATTATGAGACCACTTGCTTATTACTTGTGATTTCAGCACTGATATTTGGAGGCTTGTACTGTCCAGGTTAAGGCTTCCACATATTCTCTTCAGGAACTGGGATAACCTTCTGGCCTGGATGAGACTAAGCACAGCATCCTCTCCATGCCTGCTGAGAAAGATAGTTGCACAAGCCACAATCAATGCCATATGGAAGCAGAGGAACAATCTCCTTCATAACCTCCAAGTCGTTCAACCTTCCACCATCTTCAGGATTTTGTACCGTGAGGTTTTTAACACAATCTCCGCAAGGAGAAATCGAAAGAGTTTCAGAAATCTAATGGGTCTTTGGATCAGATGATTAATCTCTCTGAGATCTCTATGCTTCCTTGTTTTTTTCTTTATTTTTGCCAAGGAACCATTATCTGGTTTAACTTTTTGTAACACCAAACTGTTTTCATTCTAAATGATATTTACAATTTAGCAAAAAAAAAAAAAAAAAAAAAAAAAACATAAAGAATCAGTGGGTGGCGGAAATGGTGAACAAGCTGTGTTTAAAGATTGTTGAATTTGGATCTCACTATCACTCTTTAGCTGAATCCCTCTACGAACACTTCGACTATCGTTTCATTAGATATCGATCTTTTGTCGCCACTTCGGTCGCCACTCTCCGACGAGTTTATTT